GCAGCTCGGCCAGCAGCACCAGCGGCAGCACCATGGACCTCTCCTTCATGGCCGCGCAGGTGGGCAGCGGCGGCGGGACGGGGCGGGGCGCGCATCCCTCCGCTCCTTTTCCTCTCCCCGCTCTAAAGTTGAGGGGAAAAATAAGGGGGGGAGAAGGAAAAAAGGGGGAAAACCAGCGGCGGGAGCAGCGGCAGCGCTGTGTGAGGAGAAGTTGTCGGGCGCAGCACCTGTTGGCGCCGAGCGGCGGGGCCCGGCCCGGCCCGCACCCCTGGGGCGGGGGAACGGGGACAGCTCCTCCTCTGCCTCCCACAAACAGAGGTTGCGGTTCTCGGGTTCTTTTTCCTCCCGTTTTGTTTCTATTTTTGTACGTGCGTCTGTGTGTCCTCCGTGCATCCGTGTGACAGGAGCCGCCAGTTGTTGTCTGTGAAGGCAGGGGCGAGCCCGTCGTGCGGAGAAACGCTTTTATTCTGTTTGCACGAACTAAAGGGTTTAAATTGCGTCTAAACTCCGGATTTCGGCTCGAGGGCGTGATGTTGGGTTTTGGTGCTCAGTGGATTGATGCTTAACGTGCTGAGAAGTATGGGGGGGACGGGGGGGGAAATAATCTTGGTGAATCCAGGTGAATTAGGTTTTCAGGCAGTGCTGTGCTTCAGGAAAAAGTCACACACGCTGAACATCCATTTCATATTTTTCCAGGATCACTTCTTCTATTTGTGCGGGTACCTAATGGTGTGTATGTAATTGGGTTTTTTTCAAAATCACAGAATGGCCAAGGTTGGAAAGGAGCATTAAGATCATAGAGTCCAACCATTAAATGGAATAATTTGGATCCAAGTTCGAGCTCTTGCCAAAAAACATCACTCACTATTCAGAGGTGGAGGAGTAGGGGCCAGGGAGGCCTTTCTGCACTGTTGCTGCCTGAGCACTGGTTTCAGCTGGATCAGATTTGGTTTCTGCCAAATTTGATCCTTGCCGAGTCGTTCTGTTTCATTAATGCAATGGCTGTTTTGTCTTGTTCCTTTCCTAAAGCCTACTTCTGAGGGGGTGCTGGGCTCTGCCTTCCAGAAGGTAGCAGTGGACTGTCTAAGAATCTCTCCTATTTAGAGGTATTTCTAAGAAGAGTGGGTTTTGGGGGTTTTTTTTTTGAAGGAAAACCAGAATGGGGAGGAGGGAAGCATCATTTTTACTGAATTGAGGTCTTCCTGGGAAGTGGAGTATTCAAAGAAAATCTTGTACATGTCTGGTCAATTTCCTGTGGTCCTTCTCAGCAGGATCAGTGGGCTCCCTGTGCCCATCCCTTGTTCCCCAGGCACGGAGTTGAAATTGACTGCCCCTGTTGCACAGAAGCAGAGGTGCAGCACAGCGGCAGGTTCACCAGTAACCAGAGTGGTGTGTGCCCAAACTGGGACTGGTGTTGCCCTTTCCCTTTCTACGCTATCTCTTGTTCTTGCTCTTCTGTACCCCACTTATCTTCTACTCTAATTCTGTGCATTCGGGGAGTCACAAAGCTGTGTACTTTAGTCCTCTCAGAAAAGTTCCCTGTATAAATATGTCTTATATTTACTAAGGTTACTAATGCAGCAATTTACAGTGAATTATGTGTGTTTTTTCCTGATCCTCTGGCGTTGATGTGTTATTTTTCCTTGTCACAAGTGACAAAGAATTATCTTTTTCATTGTTACTTTGGTGAATTTGGGGAATCTGCATTTCCTTAGGCAACATCTTTTTAAGAAAGAAAAGTACTTATCTTAAAGCCTGCGCAGCAGGAAAGGCTATCTGTGAAGCGATGTTTACCTTCTCTGACATGGGTACAGATCCCCTGTCCCCGAGGAAGAAGCAGCAGAAGCCTTTGTTGTGTTTCCCCTGCCCACCTCTAGACACCAGCGCAGCAGCATGGGGATGGGGATAACCTGCAAGAAGGCTGGGGTACAGCTACACGCAATCCTTCCTGTGGCCCAATCCACCTTGGGAAGAAAGGATGGAATACCTTGGAGCTGTCTCTGCCACAGAGCCCTTTGGGGGCTGAGGGGAAGGTGGGGAGGCAGTTGGGGCTTGGAGTGTTTCTCTCAGCAGGGACATGGGGCTCACCAGGTCTGCACAGCACAGGGCACCTGGAGGAGTCCTCAGGGAGGGGAGGATATTTGTGTAATTAACATTTTATGAGGTATAGGAGAGGATTTTTCGGGCTCTTCTTTTACTGGAGAAAACAAACCCAGTTGTTAGGTCACCGCATACAGCAGATGCTACGCTTACCTCTGTTACTCCCCTGGCATGGGCCTCTTGTACCTTTCTTTCTGAATGGGACAACCCTTTCCATTCTTGTCACCAGTGGCATTTACCCCCTAGAGTGTCACTAATTTAGGTGTTGCTTGGCATCTTTGGTGGGGTGGTCCATTGAGGTGGTCTTCAGTAAGAGATATGTGAGAACAGAAGAGAATTATTGACCTGTGCTCCATGCTTCTAACTGCTTTTGAGGATGCTCTGCCATCACACTTATTAACATCCTTATGACCTACAATGGGGATTGCATTTTACCTGATGAATACCAGGTACATTACTACTTTATACCAAAACAGGTAATACCTCACGTAAAAACAGTGGTTACCCTCAAGTTAATTTAGTTTCTACAGGATACTGTGGACTGTTTATGTTCCTATAAGTTGCTTTTGTGTATTATTCTTACGAGACCTTTGCACTGTTCATTGTGGACCCAAGTTGGCTTTGCTAGATGCCTTGTGAGACACTATAAATGATCTGTACCTTAGAGCCCCTCTGATGTATGCACAGGAGCAGGAGGTGTGTAAGTTAGGCTGATGCTTTCAGCCTCAGTGATACTGTAGCATGTTATGGAGTGAGAGTTTGCACATCTGGATAGCTGTATTGGTGTGTTTACCTCTTCAGGCACCTGAACACGAGGAGCCCAGCTTTCTGCAAGCGCTGGGTATGCAAAGCTACACAAATAAACTGCAGCTTTTGCATTCAGCACCTCCCCTCCTCCTTTTAAGATATCTATGAGATGGTTTGTGCCTTGGAGGCCCTGAAACCATTCCGGGTGCCAGCAGAAAGATAAATTTAATCCCCCCTTTGAATGATTTATTTGATGCTGTAGAAAGGATAACGTTTTGCTGATAAAAATTGTTGTTGTGGAACAGGAGATTGGCAGGTAGTAATGCTAACAAATCTGTGCAGTATAGATCTAGTACGAGGCCTTGGATGCCCAGCTTAAGCATCCACATCTGAACATCTCAGCTGTAGTAGATTTATTAGCTGTGTCACGAAGAACAGCTTTTGACCGTAACAATTAAATCTGTTGTTAAAATAAGCCTTTTTGCATCTGTGTTCGTCAGTTGTTGGTTGTGCAGGCTTGGGTGTTTGTTCTGCCAGTGCTCTAATTGATTTTTGGTTAAGGTCAGGTGTGCTAATAAGCATGTCTTGCATCTGGTCAAAGCCTATTAGCTAGTACTTTTTTTTTTTTTTTTTCATTTTAAATCCTGATTTTAATTAAAGTAATCCTCAAGATACTATGCCAAAGATATTCAGCCACTGCTGAGCTGTGTGACTGGCTCATTTCTGTGTGGTGTTCAGTGATTTCAGAGTGCTCTTGTAGTCTAGGTAACCTCAGAAATAGCCTCTTCTTATAGGAAGAGACTTTTGCTTCCAGCTGAAAAGCTTGATTTTTGGGGGTGCTGAGCGCTGGGTCCAGGCTAAGAGCACTCAGTGCTTTTCAGCAGGGGTCTGGGGTTTGCTCTCAGACGCCCAGCGGTGAGCTGTCTCCCTCCCCGCTTCTGACACGCTAAAATTAATAACCATTTAATGACTGGCTAAAGCATCTCTGATGGAAAAAGCTGTAACAGTGAAAATTGCATCTGGGTTAATGGGAGCAGGGTTGAAATGTGTATTCAACTTGAAAAAATAGAGGTGCATAGTGGGGAAGAACTGGGAAGCTAGAGAAGAAAAAATGATGTCATGGTCTTCACTATGATGCAAATCGATATGAGCTGAACAGCACCTGCAGTCATAATGCCAGCTCTGTGCTTTTCAAGATTTATGTTTGCAATTTAATTTTTCCCTAAGTGTTTTCTGTATTTTTTGTTTCATATTGAAAATAAGGAATGTATTCCTTTAACTTGCAATATTTTTATGGTCAGGTATATCTCTGTACAGTAAAAATATTACTTTTAATTGTCAGGTAAATGTTCTTTTCTTCTTTTACATATAGAACAGGGAAAAGCTAGTGAGAGCTTGGGAGCGTGATCATTTCCGTGGATTTTTTTTTTGGTCTCATTTGTATATAGTTTACATATGAATTATCTGTTGATTCTCTGTGCAAAAGCTCTTTGTAAACAACTGAGGCTTTGAAAGGCAGTAAATTGAATTCTTTATGCTTAGTTTCAATGACTTAAAGTTGTATTTTTGTCATCTTTCTTTCTATTGTGGTGTTAAAGAATATATATATATATTTTTTAGTAGAATATATATATATTTTTAGTAGGAGAACCCATGACATGCTTCAGGAGCCAGAGAAACAAATGAACAAGTTTAGTATAGAAAGCAAAACCATTTAAATAATAAAGAGAATTTAAATTTAATTGGTTTTGCGTTCTGTATTAATCTTTGAGGATTCCATGTCTGGGCAGTGATCATTCAAGTTGTTTTGAGCCCTTCATTGCATTGGCAGTAGTTCATGTCGCTTTTCTCGCAACCGGGTGGTTGTCCTTGGGACCTTGAAAAAACCCTATAACCATGTCAGTATAAGAAGTCCAAGACTGCCTACATATCAAATGTATATTATTAGGAACTGTGTAACTTCTGGAAAGCACTGGAATGCAGAATAAACTGAGTTTGTTTAGGATGTGTTTGACTTAATGCTCGTATTTTCCTGAAAGCATGGACTGCCTATGTCTATGCTGCAAAACTGGCGTGTGTGCAGAGGGTGTGCTTGGTGTTTTTGGACACCTGAAGAGAGCTGCTGGATTTCCAGAAATCCCAGGCATAAGTGCAGAATCTTTTAATCCCTTTCTAATGAGATTTCTGGATGCTAGAGGATGCACAATTAAGA